CCTCCCCAGGGTCAGCTGACCACCCCCTCCACCCATCAGCTGTCCCCCCCAGAGTCAGCCTTCCCCCCCTACTTCAATCTCCTGCCTTGTGTCAGCCTCCACCACCCCCTCCGGACCGCTGCTGGTAGATGAACTTGCTAGACACTGACGCTGAAGTGAACTCTGCAATGTGGCCTCTGGTATTACAGTGCTCGCAAGTCTTCGTGGCCTGCAAAGCTGTAGGTTAGGAATCTGATCTGACTCCTTTAATCAGAAAATGCCCACTGCATTCTCCAGCGTCCCCTAGGACCCCTCCACCTACCCAGCCCAGAAGGCCTCTGAGCTGGGGACTCCATCAGCCCAAAGGACACTTACCGGGGTCAGGCTGAGGCACCCGCGGAAGGGTCTCCGAGAAGGTGTGTGTCCACCCACCGTGTGTTCCCAGGGAAACCCCAGCAACGCCTGGTCAGGCCCCTTTCCCACAGAGCTTGCAGCCAGGGCCCCCTCAGGCCCAAGGAGAGGCCAGGCAGGCTCCCCTGAGGGGTAGGAAGCAGAGCCCAGGACCCGGTGGTCCAGTCTCAGCCACCGCCGCAGGTGTGGACGGTGACCCAGCCTCAGCCATTGCCCATGGTGTGGACTGTGTGGATGGTGACCTAGCCTCAGCCACAGCCGCAGATATGGACGGTGATGCAGTCCTCAGCCATTGCTGGGGGTGTGGACCCCTGGCAGCGCTGCTGGGGGAAAGAGAAGGGCGACACCCATTCATTCTGGAACACCTGTTTCTCCTTCCTGCTTTGTCTCCCAGTCTCACCACTCTGGGGGGTGGCACCAAGTGTCTCCTAACTTCATCAAGCAGGGATCTCCCAGACTCCTGTCTCTTGCTTCGCAGGAGACATCCAGGAGCTTTTGAATGACACCTTGAAGGTCCATCCCTTAGCAGGATAAAGAGACAGCATTATTCTCTCCACATCTAATTCTAGCTAGGTTAGTTAGTGTTGCTTTTCTTCATGTCTTTAAATATTTCCCGTATTCACTCTTCCACTTCTCCAGGCTTATGACACATTTTAACACTGTCTGAAATACAATGAATATGTATGGTTACATTTTTTTTGGAAAACTACAGAAAGGTTTTGAGTGAAAAGTCCTTTCCTTGGCAGAGGCAAGCATTTTTAAGTTTACTTTTTTCCAAGCGAATTCTATACACAGAGGTGCCGATATATCCACCCTCCTCTTTCCACAGATAGCGGCTTGGTGTCAACGCTGCTTTGAGCCCTGGCTTTTTTCACTTTAAAATACACCTTGGAGGCCATCCACCCTACATCTCCTTCTTTTGAATGGTGGCATGGCCTCCACTGTACCATGTGCTAATAGTTATCTAGGCAGTATCTGTTTGGGGGAGGGGAGACGGTCCTTAAAAAAACTCCTCTTTTCCTGCTAATAAACATAGCAAATAAAACAGGATGGACCTGGCAGAGCTGGGTGAAGGGGTGGGAGATGGAGCCTGGTTGGAGAAGGCAAACCATCTCATCACCAAACAAGTCTCTCTCCACCTTATTTACAATTCATGACACTTCCTCTTCCGTGTCTCATTTAAGAAGATAGTGTCTCCTCTGACTGCAAACCAGAGCCTGAGGCCCCTGTAATAGCCCCTCAGAAGTCTTGGAGGAAATTATGTGTCTTTGATGGTCGCAAGACCAGATTTGGCAGGGTCTCAAGGAAATCAGTGGACCGCACTCCCTCCCACACAGTCCTTAAAAGTGTCTTGGGTTCACAGAAAATGGCAAAGCCTGTTAAAAAAGGAAAACGCTCCATGTGATGCCCTCCCATTATCTAGCATCGCAAAGGCATAACTTTCATGAGCTGATGGGGCAGGACAGGCATAGCTGCCACTGGGCAGAATGCCCTAAGAGCCTGGCGTTCCGCGAACAGCCCTCACACACTCCCCCAAGAACAGCAGAGAGGATGAGTGCACAGACTCGGGGGCCACTGTCAGGCTTCAACTCCAGACCTGCCGCTTACCATCCGTGTGATCTGGCCCAACCTACTGCACACTTATCTGTGAAACACGCGAGTTTATGACAGCATCCCTTCACAGGATTTTGCCAGAATGACAGGTGTTAGGGCATATGAAGCACTTAGAGTAGGACCCAGCAGCCAGCATATGTGGACCCTAGACATGGTAATCACCAGCTGCACGTTGAGGAGTGACGCATGGTCTCTGTCATGCTTGACATCCTCGTGGCAAATAAGGTGCATACATTCAGCAGCAGTTTTTGATCACCTACTGTATACCAGGCATTGCACCAGAAAGCAGAGCTACAGGGAAGAAAATACTGACAAATGACCACAAAGTCTTCGCCCAGGACATGCTTCCAGTCACCACAGAGTCCACAGTGACCCCAGCTGCTTCCTTGGGCTGTTGTAGCATGCAGAATAGACATTGTTCATATCCAGAGCACATCACAGAGAGTACTGCCCTGTCCCCAAAGGTGGATTTCATACCTTAACAAGTCAATATGCAGATTAGCCAAAGGCTAAGAACTGTGGAAGTTGGCCAATGCATGCTTAAGGGTTCCTTTGGCTATTCTTTTTACTTTTACATGTTTGAAAGTTTCCATGATTAAACCAAAAATCTATTTTAAGTAACTATGATCAAAGCCATGCCCAGTCCAGGAAAACACCACCGGCTTTCCCACAGTCTTTTCCTTGACGTGGTGAAAATAAGATGGAGTGTCCCCAAGCATATCTTCTAATCATTGCAGGAATGTTTCCTGTCTTGTAAATGAGATTCTCTGGTGCTAATGGACTTTCAGTTGATTATTTAAATTCCCTACATCCTTTACACATTTAAAAGCTGTTATATTTATCCTCACGTGAGATAGTCCAACTCTCTGGGAGAGTTTGGGGTGGGAACACAGGTATATACATTTTTAGTAAGCAAGGCCTTTCCTTTGCAGGTAGCAAGTAATAAAATTTCCTTTAATGTGTCTCACAAAAGGATGCAGAGTTTGTTTTATATTTATTGGAATGTAAGACATCAGGATAAGATTGAACCCTGTTGGTAACATCTGAGGCAGGCCTGGCTTTGTGGTGACATAGACTTCTTCTCCTTAAACACAAAAACATATCTTAAGTCAAAAATGCAGATCACACAGGGAGTAAAATAAATGTGGGTGTGTAAAAAGGCAGACGATGAGAACTAAAGAGTTTGCTTATTGTCTCCCACAGCACAACAGCTGTGAGCGCGGATAGGCTAGGAAGCCACGCCAACATCTGGTAAGGTAGCCGTCGGCCCTGGTGAATTAGAAGAGAAACATGCATGGGAAACAAACTCAAGCAAACACGAGAAAGCACCATGCAACCATGCAGGGAAGGAAGAGTCGCACTTGGAAATGCTGCAGCCACTGAGAAAGAGTTGATCTTGGTATAGTTTATTTGTAAAAGTAATACCTTCTGTTTGGAAAAGCATTATAAGAAAATATTATATGAAGCAAAAAGTACAGTTTTTATCCACCTGCCTCTGCCTCAACCATTTCCCAGACATAGACATTTTTGGGGGGGAGGGTGTCCTTCCAGATATATTCTGTAAAATGTTCTATTATGCATATATATATATATCTATAGATCTCTTCTCTCTCTGTAAACCTATTCTATATCTACATTTATATGTCAAAAAAAGATAGGAAATACTTTTGAACAGTTGGTATTCTTAATGTTGAAAACTACATTCAGGTGATGAAAGCTGTGTGGAAGACACCAGTCAGCTAGGTAAAGGGCTTGGTACAAGTACTTGTAGGAATGAATTAGACATTCTACT